GACAACGGGTGATCAGAAAAGCTCACTTGAGCTTTCAGCTCAGGTGAGCTAAAAACAAGTCCAATGCCTTGCATACATGTGAAAAAATGAATCAAAGTGAATGCATGAAGAAAAGAAGAAAAGAAAGCAAGAAAGAATAAAATAATTCCAATGCCATATTTGTGAAAAAAAGAGAATGTATGTTCATTTGCCCTAAAACACCTTCGCCCTTGACACCGTTCACCCTAATTCATGTTTGCCAAGAGTCCCTTCACTCTAAAACTTGTTCACCAAAAGCCTGTTTGACCATATGTTAGTCGGTTAATTTTTCGTAATTTCCTTTGATTTTATTGGATTTCATGAATTTTTGTTTAAATTATAATTAATTACACTTGAACATTCAGTATAGGTGAAGAAATAAAAAAAAAACCCATAAAGTAATCGATGTGATACTTGTTAATTTAATAAGTAATGTTATTTAACGTTATTTTAAATTGAGAATAAAAATACATGTAAACCCTTTGCTCAGAGGCGAAGAAATTAAAAAAAAAACATAAAGTAATCGATGTGATACTCGTTAATTTAATAAGTAATGTTATTTAACGTTATTTTAAATTGAGAATAAAAATACATGTAAACCCTTTGCTCAGAGGCTGCTCATCCCCAATTAAAATGGCCTATGAACATGATTAACGTCACTCTAAATTTCCTTAATTATTTTCAAAGCATACACCTTAAAAAAAAATTACAAGCAAAGAAAGTGTTCCCTAATTTACAGTAAGACTAAATTAACAGCAATTAAACAGATCAAGTCTTTGAAAATCATTAAAATTGGAAATAAAGTCAATACTTATGGAAATGAAATATACTTATGATATCTTTTAATTAACAAATTAAAAAAAGAAATGACTTAAAACTCAACGATAATATTGACATGAAATATTCAATATAGGGAGATATATGGTGAATGGGGTACAAAAACATCCTTGATACCTAGCACTGATACTGAAAGCAACGGAACTAAGTGACAATTTTTATGCCCCCGGATCAAAAGATCCTGGGGGTATATTGTTTTTGTCATGTCTGTCTGTTTGTCCGTTTGTCTGTTGTCAGCTTTAACCTTGCCCATAACTTTTGATTGGTTGGTAGGGTTGGATACCGTTAAGGATGAAACGGTACGATACCATACCGGTATTATTGAAATGATACGGTATTTTTAACGATACGGTACTATGCATTGATGAATAAGAATGAGGGTTAATTTTATAACAAATGTGCTTTTACCATTCACTAACCTTTCAATGATATGATCTAAAATGAGCTTATAAACTTTGTTCCATGCTTTTAAGATATAAAAATAGATATTCCTAATATTCAAATTACAAACATATCATTGCAACCTTTTAATAATGATCAACAAAACAAATCAATCGAATTCCAAACAAATTAATTTGCACAAATCGGCTGACTGCTTCACCAGTTTGCCAGGACCCCGTTTGTTTGGTCGCACTAAATGACGAAACATAAGTTAATGGATAGATCACATTTTTTGCGACATTTTGCCTTTTTAATTTACATTTATTATCAGTTTTTATTTGTAAAATTAAAATAAGATTCATGTGATGTGAATGTATTTTGATTTTTTAAAAAAAAATATATACGTATTGATTTACCTCGAATATCGGCAGTCGAAAGTAAGTATCGTTCTAAGAATCCATTTCGTTACATGTAGTTAGCCTACCCTTTTCAGTGAGCGGAGAATTCAATTTAAGCAAGTAGTTTGGAATTTTTTTTTTTTAAATCAAATTGAATGTATTAAAATGTTTTAAAGATTAAGAAATACCGTTATTAGTACCGGTATTAAATGAAACGGTATTTTACCGGTATATTTTTGAAGTAACTATTCGGTACGGTATTGGTACCGCGTACCGGTATCCAACCCTATTGGTTGGAGCTATGACTTTCATATTTCACATGTGTATTCCTTGCGACAAGGCCTTATTATAAAATCAAGTGTGAACTGAGGCACCCCCTGAAATCCAAGATGGTAACTGTCGTACCTTCCTTCTTTTTATACAGTAAATATGATATTTTAAAACTTGCTAATTTCAGCGATTTTGATTTTTATTTTAATGAGTGTATTCAGACACATCTAAAAAAAACATGTAATACACAAAATAGACCATCCTGAAACCAAGCCCCTATGGAGTAAATCTACTTCATGATAATTTCTGCCATGCACGTCCAAATCTCCATTTGATAGTAATATGAACTTCAACCAAAAACACATTTAGTTAGTCAAAGAAAAGTATTCCATAGGAGGTTATGTACATGTTCTTCATATTAGTTTCAGAAAGGAAGCCTTCTGTGGTACACATATTGGCATATATAACAAATTCTATAGATATGGATTGAAGTGTACAGAATCTGTACTACAGATTATATATTATCAGGTGTGCACCAAACTACATAGTACATACTGAGAGTCGAACACACTTTACGACTGCTTATGTATCTAAATCTGACACTTGAACTTTTTCAATAATTAGGTCAAATAAGGTAGCATAATTTGGCCGATGCCCGCATGATTTAAGATTTACTGTGATGTATCATGTCTTGAAACAAACCTGGATTCTTCATAACAGTCAGGATGATTATCCATTATTCTGGCATTCCAGAAATTTCACAAATAAGTTTCTACATAGTAATTAACCAAAACATGTCATCGAATAAATGAGGTTACTGGAGTAAAAAGGATCCTATCGCTGCAAATGTAAATAATCAGTGTAATAGATACAGCGCATGCGCATTTTTTGGACATGAAAAGTAGATTGTACGTATAAGAATTCGATATGAAGACATGTAAACAAATAAGAATTCCACCCTTTCTGATTAAAAAAAATATATTCAAATACAGTTTTCGTTTTGAGGAAAGATACCAGAAATATATTTTTTCACCATCAGTTCAAGTACGGAAAACATTTATAGGATCCAGAGAATTTCTATTTATAGCATTTGGGTTTTCCTACACACATGGCCAGGAAAAGCTGAACACAGGACTCAGGACTGGTGATTCAGGTGAATGAGGGATAGATTTCTAATGCACAATATTCAAAATTATAGTTATAGTATTATTTAAATTAATGAATATTATTCCGTTTGCAGTTTTAGCAGAGAATATTATCATTACGGTAACATGGTACACTGTAGTTGTGCATGTGTAATCTCAGCTCTTCTGTATGCTGATGACCTTGCTTTAATATCTGACAACCAAATTGATTTGCAGAACAAACTAAATCTATTGAATATATACTGTAATAAGTGGTGTCTAGAAGTAAATTGCAACAAAACAAAAATAATCATTTTTAACAAAAGTGGCCGTCTAATTCAGGAACCCTTTTTTCCTGGAAATAGAGAAATTGAATGTGTCAAGAGGTATAAATATCTGGGAATAGTACTATATTCATCCGGCTCCTTTAAAGAAGCAAAAGAAACATTATTTAAAAAAGCTTTGAAAGCCTCCTTCAAACTCCACAAAGATATGAAATCATCAGAACCATCTATAAAAACTCAGCTACACCTTTTTGACCACTTAATCAAACCAATATCATTATACAGCTGTGAAATTTGGGGCATGTTATCTAAATGCAACATTGAAAAAAATAAAGACATTTACACTATATATAAAGATTGGGATGTAGAGAAATTGAATATCAAATTTTGTAAATTTATTCTTGGTGTTGGTAAAAATTTAAGAGTACAAATATTGCTATTCTGTCTGAACTTGGTAGATTACCCATGTTTTGTTCAATCATCATTAGTTTACTATCTTATTGGCATAGATTAGAAAATATGTCAGAATCATCTTTATTACATTGTGCATATAATGAGTGCAAAAATCTTAGTCAGTCTGACATCAATAACTGGTATGACACTGTTAAATTTTTATGTAACAAACTAGACCTTAATTTACTTGTATGTAAACAGTTAAATATGACCACATTTAAAGGACTACTGAAAAAACTTATCAAAAAGCATTTTTACCAATACTGGCTTAAAATACATGATGAGGGTCAAATACATGGAAAACTTGATACATATTTTTTGTTGAAGAATACCTTTGCCATTGAGAAATACTTGTCTTTAAAGTCTTTTGAACAGAGGAAAATACTGTGTAAATTCAGAATAAGTGCACATGAACTGAGAATTGAACGTGGTAGATATGAATATACAAAAGATATTAATGGGAAAAAGATCCCTCTAGAAAGAAGTCGACGGATATGTACTCTTTGTAATTCAAATTGTATTGAAGATGAAATCCATTTCCTTACAAATTGTTTTTTATATAATGAAGAAAGGAAAGTTTTGTTCAACTTTTTAAGCGACAATTATAAAAATTTCAACACTCTGTCCAACAATCAAAAATTTTTATGGATTATGACAAATGAAGATCACAATATATTATTTAAACTATGTGACTTTTTATCCAAATCTTTTATTAAGAGAAAAAACCTCATAAAAAAATAATAAAAGTAAAAATGTTAAAAAATACATAATTTTTCAATTCATGTGTACTTCAGTCTTTACTACTAATGTACTTTGCATTTTTTTTTTTTTATATATTCTATCTTATAAACATTAAGTTTGAAAATGCATGTGCATTAATTGTCATTTTATGTTGATGCCCCCTACCACAATGTGTGTATATATGTATGTGTATATATATATATATATATATATATATATATATATATATATATATATATGTATATATATGTATGTGTATATATATGTATATATACATTGAAGAGTCATATGTCTATTATATGTACATGTTTATATAGGTGCATGTATGTCTAAATGATTTTTTTTCTTTTTCTTTCAACTATATTTTAGGCCTTTCTCTTGTAAGTTTGTTCTCTTTATGCTCATTTGGGCACTGAAACATATCTTATCTTATCTTATCTTATCTGTAAGTTGAATGGGCAGTTTTTTTTTATCATGTTACTTAGTATAATTTATTTTAGGAGCTGAGGCAAAAGAATGAGTGGAAATATTGTATTCACAACAGCTGATTATGAAGACAGTGGTATGTTTTACTTGTAACTATTTTCTATAGCCCCATAGAATTTAATAATGATTTATCATAAAATATTATATATGTTTCACAGTTTGGGATGACATTTAAAATATACGTTACAGTGTTTACATAAGCACATAAGATTGCTGACTAATGTTTTAAAGTGAAAAATGTGTACATGTACCTAGAGTAGAAACATGAAAAAAAAATCCCATATGATAATGGAATAATTATCATATAGTCAACTTCAGAAGCCCTTATAATTAGTCTTAATATACAGTGTTCCCAGAAATTATTGAGATTTTTTTTTTAATAATACGTTTATCTAAAATAATGGATGTATAACATACAATATAATTTAATGTTGCTATTTTTATTTTATGACAATACCCCCTACTTTCTTATGATACATGCAGCTTTCATAGATATAACCTCCCATTTATTTTATATACTTCCTGTTGTCTGCTGATGTTCAAAATTACTGCTTTTGAAAATACAAAGTCTATTTAAGTAAAGAGTAAGCAAGGGACTGTTAAATCTGGTTATATTTCTGAAACACAGAATATTTCACTGCTTACTTTGTATTGTGTGATACAAAATATTTAAAAAAGGAGAGGAATTCAGTTAAGGAAAAGGGTTTATAGCCTAGTAAACTAACATTCACAGATCAAAGAAGAGTTGAATATTTGCTCATTAAGAACAGGGCGTGTTCCCCGAACAGCTACTTGCTAAAAACAACAAGTAATTATCACACTCAATTAAGGGGCCCTCTAAGGGGTACTGGTAGATTTACCTGTTTACCTGGATAACCAATATTTGATAAATCAAATAAAAATATGAAATTTCATTTTTTTTCCATTAAAAAAATATCCCCCCGTTTAAATTTAAACGAAAAAATTTCAAAATATTATCAAAACATATTTTATACATTGCTGTGTATTATTGAACTTTTAATATTATTGTACCTTAAGTTTATAATTTTTTTTCAAACTGTTAAATACTACTGTTGGGAAATTTTTTGAACTTGAAGTGGGGGTCCTTTAGCATCAGAACATATTTGGAAAGTTACACCTCTTGTTGTAAGAAATTCTTCCTCGTTATCTATTTTTAAGAAGTCTATTTCTTATAATAAAACTATGCCACCCTCTTACTTCAGTTACGGAAATCAACGCTTAAATATATTACATACAAGGCTTCAACACAACTGTGTACTTAATAGCCATCTTTTTTGATGTAATATAATTTTGAGTCCCTTATGTTCCTGTGGAAGAGTGGAAGACACTCATCATTATTTCTTCTTGTGCAAAAAATATACAGAAGCCAGAAAAGAATTTTTCGATAAATTTCTGCGAATGGGAAAATTACATACTGTTGATACTCACACATTACTCTGGGGAGATGAAACGTTAAACGATGTTGAAAACGAATACTTATTTTCCATTGTACAAACATGCATTTATTAAAAAGTCAGGTCGTTTTGGTTGATGCAATAATTACTTCTTGCAAATCCTATACAGCTTGTGTATTGTATAATGTTCCTTTGATAATTATGCTTTTCTGTGTTTTGTCCATTTTAAGCTGAAACCCATATATGTAAATATGTTTGGTATACTCGTAATTCATATGTAGGGAGAGGGCGTATTAAGTTTTAAGAACTTTTGCCCAATCCCAGTTGTAAAGTTTATAGACAATAAAATATGTTCAGACCAATTATTTTGGAACTTTCAGCATCCGAATTATCCATTTGAACCAGTTTTAATATACATGTAATTTTTTTATAGTGTTTACTAAAAATGTATGATTTTTTAATGCTGAACATACACTTTTGTTTTTTATGTCTCACGTCTTAGAAAAAATATGGCAATTTATATATCTTTTGCGATTATTGATTAATTTAAACTATATTCAGTGAAAATAAATGCAGTTTTTCTGCTTAGAAACCCATAAATTGTGAGGGTAGAAATACCTTAACTGTATACCCTTAGATAGAAATAGAAATTATTTAATGGAAAAAAAAGAAAGAAATAAAATAAAATAGATAAATAAATAAATTTAAAAAAATTAAAAACTAAAAAAAAAAAAAAAAACATTTTACAGGATATATTGAACTAAAAATGACTTGACATATTGTTCCGTTTATATGCATTGAAATTCAGGTAATTTATTCATACAGGTAAGTTTACCTGTACCCCTTAATTGGGTGTGATAATTAGTTGTTGATTTTGGCGAGTAGGCGTTCGGGGAATAAGCCAAGAACAGCACTAAATGTAGAAAAATGGGGTTTCATTCTTAGCCCTACCAGCTTTCTCTCTGTCGATTTCCTTTCCATTTTTCAATATTTTGTCCCATGTGAATCAATAATAGACAGTGGAATACTCAGCGTTACAGAAATATCGCTAGTTTTGCAATTCTTTGATAATAAACATCTGCAATAGGCTTTCTTTTTTCAAAAGCACTCAATTTGAACATTAGCAATCGACCGTAAGTATACAAAGAAAATGGTGAGTTATCCATGAAAACTGCATAAGAAACAAGCATTCTGAGAGTATTGCATTAGCAATACTAGTCCCCTACCGGCAAGTGTAATCTGGTTCCGTTCCCCTTAAGAATTGAAAATGCCATAATTCCGTCAAAAATTAATGAAGCGGGACGAAATGCAAACTTGATCAATAACTAATCAAGGTAAAGCCACATACCAAAAATCAGCTCAATATTTACAAGCGTTTAGAAGAAAATTGCGGAAAACCCGTAAAAATTGAAAAGGCCGTAATTCCGTCAAAAATCAATGAAGCGGAACGAAATGCAAATTTGATCTGTAACTCGTCAAGATACACTCACATACCAAAAATCAGCTCAATATCTGCAAGCGTTTAGGAAAAAAGTGCAGAAAACCAAGTGGGACAGACTGATAGACAGACAGACCGGTAAGGGACTAATAAGAAAGTAGCAAGTATTGTCATTTTATAAAAAAACTGATTTCAAAGTAAAAAATATTTTAATTTCAAAATACTTCATGAAAATATTCTCAACTAGAGCCGAGCTCGTTGCAATGCAACGAATAGGTCTTCCGTCGGAGCTCTGGACAGGACAGAGCGACCTTGAGTCAAGGTCATGCAACATTTTAAGGTTATAAACAATCCTGTAAGGGGCATCAACTTTCAATGTTTCAACAGTAGAAAGACAGCAAAGGAATGTAAAATTCCCCTGTCAGTGAACTTGAACTTGTCCAAATAACTTTGCGTCAAGTCATGACACATTCTGCAGCTTGTTAAGAGCAAACACCATCTTTATGTCACCGACATAAAAAAAAAAAAATCACAGTCACGTATTCTTTCAGACTATTCATCCAAAACATCATATTCTAAGTGACCTCGTATTTAAGTCAAGGCCATTACACACTCTGGATGATATATTTATCATCTTTTCAGTGAAATGCAAATGCATGCAATTTTTTCTATTACAAAAGTATAGACCTTTTTGTTTATTTGTTTGTATGTTGTTTAACGCCCCTTTCGAGAATTTTTCAATCATATGGAGACGCCACCATTTGCCGATGGAGATCTGCAAATTTTGACCTATACTCGGCACACATGGCCGTTTAGCAGTGAGGGATCTTTTTCGTGCCAGCACCTACTGCCAGACGGGACCTCAGTTTGTACGGTCTCATCCGAAGGATCAGTCTCTGCGTCCCACAGTGGGATTCGAACCTGCGACGTAAGGATCAACTCCATAATCCACGACTCTAGAGCAGACACTCTTACCACTGCGCCACGTGGGCGACTAGACCTTTTTGAATTTTACACTTATTATATCAGTGACCTTGAACTTGCCTAAATGACCTATGTTAAGGTCAAAAACAACCTTTGAACAAATTATGAGCTTCCAGTGATACCCAATGACAAAGATATACCTGAAAAAGAATATTGCACTTTTCTGTCAGTGACCTTGAACTTGCCAGAAAGACCTTGGATCAAGGTCAAAACACATTCTTGGATCATAAGCAATCTCTGTATCAAGTAAAAGCTTCCAGTGATTTTATTTAACAAAGTTATAGCATGTGGAAAAAAAAATATTTATCTGCCAGTGACCTTGAACTTGCCGAAAAAACCTTTGTTCAAGGTCAGGAAAACCCATCTCAAGCAATCTGAGAAAAAGTTTCCTGTGTTCCTCCCACCCCTTATAAATTTATAATCCAGGCACGAATTTTGCCACTTCTTCTGCCAGTCTAGTACTATGTTATCTCAAACCAGTGGATCATAAGCAATCTTTGTTCCAAGTATGAGCTTCAAAAGTTATAACACATACAGTAATCTTACAGTTTTCTGTCAGTGACCTTGAACTTACAGGAATGACCTTGGATGAAAGTCGTGTCAAACCCTTTAATTTTGTCATGAGCAATTTCTGTATCAAGTATGATACTTGCTATTTTTTTCCAATGACCTTGAACTTGCTGGAATGATGTTGGATCAAAACCATGACACACCTTCGGATCATTAGTAATCTTTGTACCAAGTATGACCTTCCAGTTTCTTCATAACAAAGTTATAATATCCTTGGCGAACTATCACGTACAGACGGACAGCTAGGCAGACGGACAGTGTGATTCCGAAAGACTCAAAACACCCCCACCCCAAACCCATACACTTCGTTTGGAGGGATATATAAATTCCTTTGTTAAATTATGAACACTCTTTCCGGCCCAAACCTTCTCCCTGGAATCAATATTTGAAAAAAGAAAAAAATGAATGTATGCTATGTTGGAAATTTTCTCATTCTAGTCCAGGGATTCTTGAGAATACTATTTTCAAATGACCCCATGCGCGGATCTAGAGGGGGTTGGGGGCAGTTAAATGTATATACTAAACAAGAGGCCCATGGGCCACATCGCTCACCTGAGTAACTTTGGCCATGCTGTTCATTACCAGACTTCCCCCCTTGTAATACCTATTGTGGCCCCACCCTACCCCCAGGGGCCATGATTTGAACAATTTAGAATCTACACTACCCCA